CATTCCTGCGCTAGAGGCCACATCACGCCGGCCTCTACCTCCGTGGCCTCACTGCATGTGTCTGTCTTTCTCCTCTTCTAAAAGGACACCAGGCCTGGAATTTGGGTGCACCTCACTCCGCTATGAGCCCACTATCACTTGTCCTAGTTCCAAATAAAGTCACCTTGAGGTTCCAGGGGGCCACTATTCTGTCACTGTTTTGGGGACCCCATTCAATGCAGTATGGGCAGTGAGGTAAGCATGTGGGGTTCAGCAATTCCCACCAAAGCCCTCCAGGAGGAGCAATGGCAGGCAGGCTGCAGCCTCTGGGGAGTATGGGACTGGGCCATTGAAGCCGGGTTGGGGGACTGATCAGCAGTATGGAGCGGCATTCTCACCTTCCCTGGGGCCTGGGCCCTGGCACCCAGCTTCCCAGCCTGCGGACTGTGGGGGCATCTGGGCAGGTGCCAGGCATCAGGCAAATACGGCCACCGAGAAGGAGGGCATGCAAACCAAGTGGGCTGGAGATTTGCATGAACAGGTGTCCAGGTCTGTAACGCCCCCTCCCTGCAGGGGTGGAGGGAGTTGGGGGCAGCTGGGGGTCCTACATCTCCTGGCTAGAATCACATCTCAGACCTCCCAAGGGGCAAAAATGGGAGCAGACACTTGGGCCCTGGCAGGGAAGGCACAGGGGGCTCTTGTTCAGGCACCAGGGGTTGGGACAGAAGGCTACCCACTGGCCAGAGGCCATCGCAGAAATGCCTGAGGTGAACACTGCTCCCCAGGGGCTCCGGAAGAGCTCTTCTCGGGGCTGAGCCTGGTAGCTCGGCCTGGGGTCCAGCCCTCCTTGTCCATCTGTGACTTTAGGCAGGTCCCTGGGACTCCCTGGGCCCACGTCCTTTATGAGACGCAGTAAGACAGGTGGTGATAGGAAGAAGGTGCCAGAAGGGGCCCTGCATATAGCAGCCATAGTCAGTGTTGACCCTCTTGTTCTTCTCGGGTGTAGAACACATGAATATGAAGGGGACACAGCTATGACATGGTGGCCCCTCTGGTCCCTGACTTTTGAGCCCCACCTGCCTTTCTAGGCCGCTTGGCCAGATACCATCCCTAAAGCCTCAGTCCCAGAGCCTATGGGTTGCCCCTCCTGCCCAAACCCTTCCCAAGCATCAAGCAGTCCCTTCTTGAATGTCTGTTTCACCCATGGTGGGGGCTGGCCACCCAGAGCCCCAGGAAGAGAGGGTTATCCTCTTATGATAGATGAGGAAACTGAGGCAAGAGACAGAGTTGAAGCTGGAGCCACATAGTTCCCCTCCTTCCCCTGCCCCAGAGGAGGTGGGCACCTCCCTACTCCTGCTCCCCACCTGCTCGCCGGCAGCCACACAGGGGCCCCTACCTGCCTGCCGTCTCCCCGGTGCACTGACCTGCTCTGCTGGAGCCGTCTCCCCGCCACGCAGGTTGTGCCCGCAAGCCCAGCATCCCAGTTCCTGCTCCTCCTTCTCCTCCTCCCCACCCACTAGGCCCGGCTCCTGGACAGCCAATACCAGCCCAGGGAACTGGCCATGAAAACCCACAGGACACCACCAACCTTCTGCTCTCGTTAAAGCCACCGGCCACCAGGGACAGCCTTCCTCAGGTCTGGTTGGCCCCTGCAGCCCCGACGGCACATCCAGTGTGACCTGGACACAGCGCTCACTGGGAGGTGATTCTGTGTGGGAGCCGCCAGCCCCCTTGGTTGCTGGCGTTCTCTTCGTGGGCTCTGCCGGGGTGCGGCTGGGGCTGAGTCCTGCTAATGTTACACCCTGGTATGGTTGGATGGGGCTCCGAGTCAGTCTTCCCCAGCAAGTGGGATGGGTGCTGCCCCAGGAGCTCAGGCCAGGACACTCAGCCCAGCTGTCCGCAGAGGACAGGCAGGCAGAGGACGCCCCTTGCTCTGTGGCCCTGGAAGTCTTGCGGCATCGAATCCCATGGTGTGTCATCTCCCAGGTGGCCAGCACTTTGGGGCTCACGACGACCAACCCTTCCTCCGGGAGCAGGGCAGCATGCCAGCAGGGACAGAGCCTGCCTTCTGGAGTCCCATACTCCTGGGCTAATGTACATGTCCTTCAAGCTCCTGTGTGCTCCGCGCCTCAGCCTTCTGTCTGTACAATGGGGAGACTCACAGCCCAGCTATTCTGGGAGTAGCATATGAGGAGGGCAGAACCTGAGTGACAGTCCTGCGTGCCCTCCCCCGAGAGACCCCAAGGACCCCTACCTGGGGACCTCTCATAGCCTCATCTCCGGGAGGGGTGGGGGACAGCCTCCAGGATCTGCTGAAACCCCAGCTGCTTCTCCAGTCTGGCCTGAAATCGGCCACCAGAGGGCACCCCAGGACCATTGGCAGAGTCAGGGATGGCGGTGGTGGTTGGCCGGCCATGGCGCGGAGCCCCAGCCTCTTTGCTCTGGGCAGAAGGGCTCTGATCACTCCTATGGTAGCTGCCTGGGGGCTGGGCTGGGCATGTCCCTTAGTCCCCTTAGTAAATACAGTCAGAGGCGAAGATCATGGTTCTGGGTACATAGAACTCCAGGGCAGGGCTCCCACAAGCCCTTGAGGTCTGAGGCCCTGAAGGCCCAGCTCTGATTAGGAGAGGCTGATCTTGGGGGACCCTGGATAAGGTCAGGGGCCCACTGAGCCCTGGAAATCCAGCCTGAGCTCACATCATGCCAGTCTAGGGCCTTGTCTGCCAGTCCCTGGGGTGTTCAAGCAGTGAGCGCGTCTCCCCAGACGCCGAGCCTGTGGGGGTGCAGGACATGGCCCTTCTCCAGCTTTCCCTCTGTCTTGATCCTGTCCATCAAACTCAGAAAAGCCACCTCTGACTCCTGGACACCCAAAGGATTGCAGCAGCCTTTCCCTGGCCAAGCTCCTTCCTGCCTATGACCCTCTCTGGCTCTCTATTAACCTGACAAGAAAACCCGAACAGGATACGCTCCTTTGCTCCTGCTGCCCTTCCCTGGCTCCTCCTGCTGCTCCTTCCTGTCACTCGGGTCTCAGTTTCCACATCCTTACTCAGAGACCCCTTTGCTCCTGACCATAGCAGCATTGGGGGCCTGGCATTGGCTTTCAGTGTGCCTTGCCATCTGAAAGAACCTAGCGTTTATTGGTTACTTATCTGCTGCTTCCTTCCTGCCCAGGACTGTCGGCCACTGGGCACTTACCACTGCCTACCTAGAGCCGGAACCTGCTCAGACGTGAGTGAGTGAATGAGTGAATCAAGGTCAGAGAGTCTGGGTGTGTGCCTACATGTGAGCCACCATGGGGGCAGGGCCAGGGCACCTGGGGGAGGCTGTGCTTGGGGAAGCAGCTTCCTGGCCAATGCTAGGACCCTAAGTAATGGCACCAAGGTGCTCATCATGTCCATGTTTGCTGTCGGGAGGGACATCCCAGCTGCTGACAAGAGTAGCCTCCAACCCTGGGTGGTGGCTTTGTTTCTAGCTGTCTTCATCACCTTTGCCACAATTGGTCCTGGACAAATGCCATGTGGGAACTTCCTTTTAGGAAGAGGCCACTCCTGGTAGAGCAAGGCTCCAGTAAGACCTGGTTGGTACCTGTCCTCACCAGGCCTCTGTTCCTGAGACAGCAGATCCCCTTCTGAACTACCAGTTGCCCACCCCACTGACTGCACAGACCCACCTGCCAAGCTGCAGGAGGCCAGGCCCATGGGTCTGAACACTGGCCCAGTGTCCAAGAAGGCCAGAATCCACAGGCAGCCTGAGCCATCTCTGACCAGGGCCCTCAGGCTGGGTTTGGCTAGGAGGGTGCTGAGGGCTGGCTCCCAACCTGCTCTGGGCAGCCTTACCCCAGTATACCCTGGGAGCTTGCAGCTCCGGGACTGACCAGACCCACGTCTTCTTTGCCTTATAGAAGAGGAACCAGAACCAAGAGAGGGGTTCTGCTCACACTGGCCTGGGTGGGGCCTCCTGTGACCAGTGTCTCCCTTAGACTCAGGTGAGAGGGAGGCCACCTGGAGCCAGACTGTCAGATGGGACACACTGATGGCACATCCCTGTTGGAGACACTAGCCAACATGGTTGGAGTACAGGGCCACGCCATGGGCAGATGGGGTGGTAGGGTTACAGACAAGGTCTGTAGGACAGGGCTTCCATCTGAGGCTTCTAGGCTGACCCCAAGCACCTGGCAGGGAAGGCCAGGAGCCCAGGGTACTGGGTGGGGCCGCAGATCCATCCTCGCTCCATGGTGGCCCCCTGACTCTCCCATACCCCGTGAAGCAGATGTGTCTTTGCTGTCTGCCTCCATGCCTTCTCGTAGCCCCTGTGGGACTAGGTCACCTCTTAGGGACTCAGCTGACCCAGTTGCCTCTCCTTTCCCCAATAGTACCCACAGCTTGGGGCCTTGTCCCCACGACATGCCCAGGGTCCTGATTCTGAAGCAGCCATCTGGGTCCGCTCAGCCCAGGATCTCATCACGCACATCAGACGGTTGTCCGTGGGCTCTGCCCTGGGACTGGGGACTGGGCAGGGTGGGGACCGAGGGCGGCGGCATCCAAGATCACTCTGTAGGCGGCCACCTCTGTGCCCAGTGCCCTTCTGGAAGCACTAGCTCCAGCTCCACATTGACCTAGAACGGGTGACCATGACCCATCCCACAACACAGATGGCACGGGAGGCCGGAGAGGCTGAGTGTCGCCATGGCCACACGGCCAGGACTCGAGGCTAGGGCTCTCCTCCCACCAACTTGCCCTGCAGCTTCCGAGCTCCGGGAGGAGACAAGCTCCAACTTGCTCCCTGTGGAGAGCACTTGGCGGTCAGATGGCAGAACTGCAAATAAAGGAGTGCCCCTTTCAGCAGTGTGGGAGAGCGGCCTCGAGAACAGGCACTGGCTGAGGAGGGACTGAGTTGCGGTCCAGATCCCACAGCCCTGGGGAGGGGACTCCACGCACACCTGTGCATGGCATGTCCCTTCTGCATGCACACCTGCACATGCACATGTGAGTCTGTGTGAGATGCAATGTGCAGAGCGGGCACAGGGCAGTGGGCAGGGCTGTAGGGTTACCTGCAGTGATTCGGGAGTCCAGATCCCCCCTGAAACGGGGATGATAACAATGTACTCTCTAGGGGCTGGCGAGGACCAAAAGGTAAATGATGACCAGCCCATGCCCAGGGACTTACGGACCCCTGGTATGCCTGAAAAGCAAGGCCCAGTGTGCATTTGTACATCAGTGTGGACATGCTATGTGCCTGCATGTATAGGTATCATGCGTGTACAGACATGCCCTGTGTGTGTGTGTGTGTGTGTGCGTGCGTGCCTGTGTGTATGTGTTCTGTGTGTGCACGTGTGTCCCTGGACATGCAGGGCTCTGGGAGGCAGGCCCTGTAGGTGAGGCTGGAGTTTTAGGGTGTGGGCAACCTAGAGACCCAGAGCCCAGCCAGTCTGGGGAGAACAGCAGTGTTCCAGGTCCCTGGGGTGACAGGCGTCTGTGACACCACCTGCATCCCCATCCCTGGTCCTCTCTGGTTGCCTCCAGACACTAATGACCCAACCATTCAATTGCCCATTGGCTCCTTTAGTCACTCAGCACAGGTCACGGGGCAGTTTCTACGTGCAGGCATCAGGGGAGATGCAGACACCAACATGGGAGTAAGCTGAAATGAGTAAGTGACTGCGATGACTGCGGAGAATCATAAAGCAGAGGAGAGCAGGGGGGTTTTATTTTATTTTATTTTTTGGAGAGGTTTTTGCTATAGGGCGCGTGAGCTAGCCAGGAAGACAGAGAGAGACAGAGAGACAGAAAGCGAGAAATCACCCCCCAGGGGGGATGGTCACGCCGCAATTCCTTCTCCTCCATTCTCCTCTTGGGATCTTGGGCACACATGCACACGTGCCTGGCGTGAGTTTAAGCCACCGGGTGTGGGACTCGAACCACAGTCGACTACGTGGGAGTTCAGCAACATAGCCATTACGCCAGCTGCTGGTCCCTAGGGAGATTTTATTTTTTAAGTGGGCAGGTCAAGGAGGACCTCATTGAGAAGATAGCATCCATTGGTCCATAGAACTGCAAATAACTGAAGGAAGGAAGTTCCACCTGCCTGTGCATCAATCTACCTATTGGCCCACCTACTCACCCACATGTCTTTCTTTTTTTTTTTTCTTTGGAGGGGTTTTTTAGGGCACGTGCACTCATCAGAAAGACACAGAGAGACAGAAAGTGAGAAATCACCCCCCAGGGGGGATGGCCACGCTGCAATCCCTTCTCCTCTACTTTCCTCAGGATCTTGGACACACATGCACATGCGCCTGGCATGAGTTTAAGCCACTGGGTCTGGGACTTGAACCACAGTCGACTACATGGGAGTCCAGCAACATAGCCATTACACCAACTGCTGGTCCTCGCACATGTCTTCCAACCATACATTAACCTATTCACCTGTCATCATTCCGCCATTCTTCCTTCCATTCGTCTGTTTATCCAGCTGTCCATCCACCCCCTCTCCCATGCACTCTTTCACCTTCCACCATCCACACATGCATCTGTCATCACCCATCCTTCTTCCCATTTGTCCCTCCCACCCACCCATCTGTCCATCCATTCATCCACCCCTCCCTCTCATCCATCCACCCATATGTCCATGCCTCTATCTGTCCTTCGCCATCCATCTACTCGCCCACCCACCCGTCCATCCATCTGTCTACCCACCCGTCCATTCACCTCTCCAGTCACCCACTTACCATGGACTACCCTCCAGTGTCTGAAGTCACTGAGATGCCCACACACTGGAGTGGAAGCAGCTCTTTCACAGGTTCTGGGTAACCACAGGGCGTGTGTGTGTGGGGTCACGGCACCCCACATAGCATACGTAGTACTCAAGTGCTTTCTCCCCAGCCTGTGTATCTCACACACAAAATCATGATCCCCTGAGGGTCAGGAGCCTCACCTTTCTCTCCGCTGACCTCCACTGCACTGTGACCAGGCTAGCTGGGAATTCAGTAGGCGCCCAATAAATACCAGTAGGCTGGCTGTGTCATCGCCGCCTCCTCCCCTGTTCATGGCTCATCTCGTTGGCCCCATCCCTCTGCCCACCAGCAGCTTTGTTTGGGTTGACCTCCTGGCCTGCCACCTCAAGTCCACTCTTTCATCTGTCCACACTCACACATATATCTATGCATCTGTCATCATCCACCCTTCTTCCCATTTGTCAACTATGGGCCAACTATGGGCCCTGGCCCTATGATGGGCCACAGGGGGCTTCAGAGGGGAGCCCTGCCAGTTAGAGCACTGGACAATGGCCCTGGCTGAGAACTATTCATCATGGCCTTGAAGAACTGAGGGGTAGGCTGCTCTCTGAGAGGCCAAGGGTACCCTCGCAGCTCTCCAGTGAGGAAAGTTCTGTGAACTCAGACACCCCACAATGGGCACTGCCTAGGCTTGAGGGGTGTCTGGGAGGCTCAGAGGAGGATTGCCTAAGGGTATGTGTGACAGGAGAGGGGCTGCTCTCCTGGGAAGGACTAAGATCTCTGAATCAGTTGGAAGGGGAAGGGGAAGCCCAGTGGCCAGTGATGACCGAGTGGTGGGTGGTCCTTGGGCACTTGCTGAAGTTGAACCTCTGGCATAATGCCAGGGCCAAAGTCCCCAAACTTCTGTAAATTGTTCAGTGTGGAGAACTGAAATTGAGCCCTAGTGCAGAGTCCAGAAGGGCTTTCATTCAGGGAGGCTGGCCCCAGTGGGTATCTGAGAGCTTCCTGAGGGCAGTGTGAGCCCAGCTCAGAGAGGCATGGGGCTCAAACGACTTAACTGTGAACCAAAGCAAACACAGTTGGGAAGCACCCCGCTGGCCCAGGGGAGGCTAGGAGAGGTGAGCGTGGGCATGTGACTCTGCAGGAAGGTGCCCACTACCAGATGACCCAGTGTGGGTCACTCTACAGGAGTGTAGCCATGGTCCCACTGAGGGCCACCTCCCACTTCTACCCAGTGGGTCTCCTTTCAATCTCTGCTTGGTGGATCCCACTGCTCTTAGGCTACCTAGTGGTGAGGGAGGTGACAGGGCCTCCCCGGGGCCTTCATGGTCAGGAAGGGGCTCATGAGCATATGCACCTGGATACCTGTGCACTCTTACTCTTACAGGCCAGCTCCCAGCTCCGCATCTTGGAAAAGGAGGTGGGGATGACGGCATCCTGTGATGGCATGTCTTTCTCCTATCACCTTCCCACTGCGCACTCTTTCTGCACTCACTGGCCGGAGACCTCCTCTCTACAATGTGCAAGATGGGGCAGGTGTCCCAGTCTCACAGGTGAGAAAGCTGCCTTGGGGAGGGTCTCACACTCCCCATGGTATAAGGACCTATTTCAGGGTGACTTTCTCTGTGACAGCCTGGTCTGCTGTGAGACCCACCCAAGTAAGACCCTGCCCTCACCATGTGGGCATAATAAGTGCCATGGAATGACCCTTGGACACAGCCCTAAGTGGGAAATCAGAATTAGGCTTGAGCAGAAGGGCTCTGTACGAGTTCGTCCCCCATATCCTGTGTCCTGCTGTGGTGTCCAAACTTGGACACTGCTGGGGTCCCTGACATGGAAGAAAGATGCTCGTTAAAATGTAGATTCCTGAACTTCCTGCCCCCAGCCCCATGCATCTGGGTCTGCACTGGACGCTGCATTTACCAAGTCTGTAGGTGATAGCTCTGGGTCTCTTCCCCAGCCCTCGGGCCATGAGCAGGTCTGGGATGATGAGGTCTGTTCTTAAGGGGGCAGATCGTTGGAGCTTAGGTGAGGTAAGGATGTACCTGGGGCCAGGATAAAGAACAGGGGCATAGACAGGGAGATGGTTCGCCCCAGCTCTGCTGTGGGACGACATATTCATAGGGACGCTCCTAGAGACTCACTGGTTAGGAGTTTGGAGTGGAGGCTTCTGTCCTTCCACCTCCTCTCCAGTGCTCTTAGCGCTCCGCCCTTTCCCCTGCCCCTCCTCCCAGCCATCATCCCTTTGTATTGATGCCTTCTGCATGCAGAGTCCTCTGTCAGCAAGCACCTCCCAGGTTAGTCTCTGTGCAATGCCCCGAGGAACCCTCACTGATCACCCTCCACAGACTGCACCTCCTATCCCTTGGCCCCTTGCTTTTCTTTTCTCTCTCTCTCTCTTAAATAATTATCTTATTGGGACCAGTAGTTGGCATAATGGCTATGTCGCTGGACTCCCATGTAGTCAACTGTGGTTCGAGTCCTTGATCCAGTGGCTTAAACTCACGCTGGGTATGTGTGCATGCGTGTCCAAGATCCCAAGAGGAGAATGGAGGAGAAGGGACTGCGGCATGATCATCATCCAGGGGATGATTTCTTGCTTTCTATCTCTCTGTCTCTCTCTGTCTTTCTGGCGAGAGCACACGCCCTATAGCAAAAACCTCTCAAAAAGAGAAAAAGAAAAAAAATTATTTCTTGCTTCTAATTTGGTGTCCTCATCAGCCATCCTCCTCATCATCCAAGAAGAATGAAACTAACCTGCAGAATATCTTTCGCCAGGTCCGGGACTCGAATCGTGTTTGGCCATGTGGGAATGTCCATCACCTTAACCACCACACTACCTGGTGGTCCCTTAACTTTATCTTTAGAAATTAATTAAATTATTTGGCCAGAGAGGGACATAGAGAGAGAGAGAGAATAAGAAAATGAGGTGCCAGGTCCAGGACTCAAACCGCGGTCAGCCAAGTAAGAGCCCAGCACCCTTAACCACCACACCAACAGCTGACCTGCCCCCTTGCTTTTCTTTATCTCGCTCTCAATGACTTGTGATCTTGCACACAACTCTGGCAGATCACTGCCTGGCATACAACTGGCTCTCAACAAGGAATTGGGGAGTGAATGAATGAATGACTAGGAAGTCAAGCTGAAGGAGGACGCTGGCCAAGAAACCTTTGGTGGCTTGGATACCCAAACAGCTCACCCCTGACCCACAGGTGCTGATCTCCTGGGAGTCACGCTTCCCAGCCTCAGTTTCCCCTTCCTCTCATGCTCTCAGTGACTTCAGAGGCTCCTCCCACTGACAACATCTGACCCCACCAGAGGAATGTGGGATGAGTTCAGAGAGCTGAGAGATGTCTGCAGAGAGCCCCCAGAAAGTGTGCAGTGTGGCAACATCAAGCTTTCAGAATGCTCCAAGGTTCTGAGACACTCCGTGGGATGAAGAGGCAGGGAGATGGCCGGTCCCTAATCCATGCCCAGCCAAGTCGATCTGTCAGCCTCTGGGTCCAGCACAACCCCGGACTAATGCGTGCGCCTGGAATGCCTGAGAGGGACTGCAGTGGGAGAAGGGGCTTTCTTCAGTGGAGGGTGCATTATGGAGGCACCAGGAAGTAGCTAGCAAGGGACAACCCCAGGGTCCTGCCCCACCACCCAGAGATCCAGACTCCTCCCCCCATGGCCTCAGGTCAGCCACTCACTCCCCACTGTCAGAGATCTCTCCTTACCCCCTGCAGTCCAGAGAGGAGCCACTGGGTCAGCTTAGGCTCTACCACCCGCAAGAAGTACCAACCGCCTGTCTCCACTCTCAGCACTGGGCCTTACCCTGAGCTCTTACCCAGCCCGCTCCACCTCACCTCATCTGTGTACCTGGCCTCATTCTTCTCTCCCAGCTCTCACCTGTCCGCCCTGTCTGTTCCCAGGCCCCCCTCTGTCCCTTTCCAGATCTCTGGAGCTTGTAGACAGCTTACAGCCAGCCCCTTATCCAGTCTCCTCAGCCAGTGGGGCTCTGGACCCCCCAGAGCAGGCTCCTGCACAGATCAGGCTCCCCAAAGCCATCATCTGTTCCTCCAGGTGGCCTAGGGCACAGCCCTAGGGGCCTCCAAGAAACCAACCCAGGTGCTTGGGCGGCCAGTTATTATCATTTTCTTTGATTTAGTTTGGAAATGTACACAAAAGTAAGGAGCGCAGTATAATGAATGTATTCACCACTCAGCTTCAACAATTACAGATTCAAGTTTTGTTTAACCTCTAGACCCTGCCCCTCCCTGCTGATTATTTTGAAGCCATGCTCCTACATCACACAATTCCCTCCGGAAACTTCAACATACACCTCTAGCAGGACAGCCCAGTTCCTACAGGGAAGGTGAGACAGCCTCTAGTTTTTAAATTAATGAGCCAATGAGCCAAGCAATGACAAAGGCCAACGAGGACTTTCCAGTATCATTGTGAATGAATGAGCTCGTTAGATAGTTGAATAGTTGATATGTGTGTGTGTATATATATATATATACACATTTTTTTTTAAAGGTTTTTTTTTCTTTTTTGCTATAGGGCATGTGCGCTCGCCAGAAAGACAGAGACAGAGAAGCAGAAAGTGAGAAATCACCCCCCAGGGGGAATGGCCATGGTGCAATCCGTTCTCCTCCATTCTCTTCTCCGGATCTTGGGCATGCACACACACACACCTAGTGTGAGTTTAAGCCACCAGGTTCAGGACTCGAACCACAGTCGAGTCTACATAGGAGTCCAGCAACATAGCCATTACGCCAACTGCTGGTCCCTGATAGTTGATATGTTTTAATTCATGAGCCTTTTTTTACTTTTATTTTTATGAGAGACAGGAGGAAGTGGAACAGGTGTTATTGACAGGGTCTCACCATTGTGGTCTTCTGCCCCAGCCTCCCAGGTAACTAAGATTATAGGCACATGCTGCCGTGCCTAGCGCGTTTAAGTGGTTCCAGATCTGAACTCAAGCCTCTTTTGTGGCCAAGCCATGCACAGTGGCACCCTGTGATCTGCAACCCCAAGGCTGGGCCCCATGATTCTTTTTGATGCTTAAATTGACCCATTGATCAACTCCTTCTAATGCTTTTCAGTGAACAAAGCTAGGAAATAATTATAGTTTAAGATAAAATAGCTGAAGAGTTTATGCTAATATTTCCAATTCAGATTTAAGGATTGTTTTGTACTGAATTTCTTAGATTTTACATCTGTACCTCTTTTCCCTTATACCGAAAAGGTTGGTTCCTAAGTAATTCAATATGACTCTTTATTATGCATGTATATATATGTAGTTTCAAAACACAGTATCAGTATTTATATACAGACAATTACGTTTGTTGTTGTTGTTTAGTTTGCTACAGGGTTCATGCGCTCACCAGAGAAAGAAAGTGAGAAAGCAGCCCCCCTTAGGGATTGGGGGCATGAATGCAAACATGCACAGTGTGATTTTCTTTCCTTTTTTTTTTTTTTTTTTGAGAGGTTTTTTCGCTATAGGGCGCGTGTGCTCGCCAGAGAGAGACATAGAGACAGAAAGCAAGAAATCGCCCCCCGGGGGGATGGTCATGCCACAATCCCTTCTCCTCCATTCTCCTCTCGGGATCTTGGGCACGCACACACACGCGCCCGGCGTGAGTTTTAAGCCACCGGGTCATGGATGCGAACCGCGGTCGACTACGTGGGAGTCCAGCGACATAGCCATTACGCTAACTGCTGGTTCCCCACAGTGTGATTTTCAAGCCATTCAGTCCAGGACTTACACTGCACAGTCAGCCGTGTGGGACCCAGACTCCTTAACCACCATGCCACGTGGCTGGCTCCAAATACTATCCTTTGGATTTTTGGATTCCTTTTGTCCTTTGGCAGTGTTGTACCAGAGTAATTCAACCAACTGAAGGATGTAGTGGTTGTTTCTAGTCTTCTGCTAATAGAAGTCGTGTTGCAATGAATTACTTTCTGTATCTATCATTTTTTATTTTTTCCAAACTATCTCTGGGATAGTTCCTTTAAGTGGGATTTCTGGGCCAGATGGTCTATGTAATTTCGCTGCTGTTGCCAGAATCCCCTTCCCACAGGCAAAGAGGAGAGCTCCCAGGCCTCTCCTGCAAAGTGTATTATCCAATGTCTGGATTTTTGCCAATCAGATAGGTGAGCAATAGTATCAAAGTGTACTTTTAACTTGCATTTTTCTTGTTATGAGTGAGATTGAGTATTTTTTCATAAGTGCAAAGGCCACAAATCTCTTTTCCTGTAAACCGTTCGAGTCTTGCCCACTTTTCCATAAGACTGTCTCTCATTTTCTTTTGTTTTAGACGTTCTTCGTATGTTGGTAGTATTAATCTTGGGATGGAAATTGCAATTATTCTTCCTGGTTTGTCACTTGTCTCTTTGCAAATGGTGGCTTTATTTCTTTTTCCTTTTTAAAATCAATTGCTTCTTGATTTCAAGACATC